AGCTCCAAGCTACCTAAAGCCGTGGAATTACAAGATTGGGTATTCGAGGAAGTGCTACCCACACTAAGAAAGACCGGTAAATACGAAATAGACAAGCGCTTTGACACCCCAAATAAGTTGGTTTTCAAGATCGAAAACGAATTTGACCTACATAAGAAGGTGGTTAACTACATCCGCCGGTTTTGCCCTCAGATGCTCATAGCACCGGGTTTAGGAGAACTGCAGGACAGCGACGGTAAGCGTATAAAGTGTTGGCAAAAAGGTTACCAACGAGGTCAACCTGACTTACTACTGTTAAACGCACACGTGCATTACCGCGGCTTCTGCATTGAGTTAAAAACCCCTAAGGGCGACGGTAGATTGTCGCCAGATCAACAACTACTCCTGAAAAGGTATGAAGAAAATGGATACAAAGTGTTAATTAGCAACGACTACGACGACATCTGCCGTGCAATTGCCGCATACGCCGAACACTTACGCATTCCTTGTAAGTGGTGCTGTAAGAGCTTTAAAACCACGGACACTCTGACAACATATTTAAAGATATTTCATAGAATATATGATCCAGCAAGTGCATTGGCGTGATTTAATTGAGGGTATTGCATATGAAATAAAAAATTACGTCGTCTTCGAGGACTTAAACCGCATGCGGTTACTCCTCAAATACGACAATGTAGAATACTCCCTGTGGGCGCCTGACAGGGTTCGGTATGTAATACAAGGCGAAGAATTTACCCACCTGCGTTCACATGGTAAGCAGGATGGGCGGTGGGTGTTTGACATTGAAAGAAGGGTTGCCCTGTCTCCTCTATGTGGTTAGGCGCGTCGTTTAAGTGGGGTTCGTCGACAATGAGGGTCGGCGACTCTTTTTTAACGATGCAGTCAGCAGGGGGTTCGCATGTAATACAGTCCATATATTGAAAGGGTTATTAGGAACCCTCCAAGGAATGCTGCTGCGTAGGCTATCATATATTTTAAGGATGACATACTAGGCTTATTAATCAGTTATTATATAATGGAGTGCGAAGAATGCAGTAGGAATTTCAGTAGCAAGCAGATGCTTAATTACCACGTCTCCCATAAGGTATGCAAAAAAGTGAAGCCCAGCCTCGTCTGCAAACACTGCCGCAGGAAATTCAGCAGTAAGCAGATGCTGGGTTACCATACTTCCCACATGGTGTGTCAGAAACACCTCATATCGGAAACCGCCTTAGAATGTTAAATGGTGGTTAAGACTTTGTTAAGGACCAAATTAAAATTAAAAATTAAATTAAATTTAACATTTATTTTCCGCAATTTTAATTTGAATGGAAGTATTTATTTTTTGGTTTAGTCCATCAGCTGACCCGAGTCTAATACTCACTTAAGGGGAACAGATTAAACTCATTTTATGATAATCTTTGACTATTCAGGATTACAAAAAGGTATGATGGCAAATCTGGAACGGCAGCTTTCATGTTGAAATTGACATTTCAATCCTTACACTACGTTCACTCAATGGCCGCCATTTTGTTTTTCTCGGTAAAGCTAAAGCGGCGTTATTCATTTATTATGAGGAATAGTACGTCATTTATTGTTCAACTAGTAGTGAATATGAATAAGTCAAATTGTAATCATTGTTCGTAAGGATAAATGACGTCAGCATTACGTCATATCTGACGTCATCTCTAACCTAAATATTGATATATTCCACTAAGTTCTATTTAAGTGTGCTTAAATTTTATATCCATGAGATGAATGTTTTATCTATTACATATTGATGTTGATGCTTAGAAATTTACTCTACAATAAAACTGAAGTATCATTAAATAAAAGATTCATGGTTTGTGGCCTTATGACGTCACTCGTATGATATCAAAATGCACTAATAATGTACATTTCTTCATTTCTTTTTATATTTCTCTTAAAAACTAATTCTATATTGATAGCAAACAATATATATTCCGGATCCCAACTTTTACCTCTTTCAGAACTTTCAGTCGTTGTAATACCAAATAGAACATGTCTGTAGCAAAGTTATATATTTCAAACGCAACCGAATCTGGCCTTACAYCCTTGTATCTAACAGCTGAGTAGAACTGCAAAAGAAAGGAAAGAAAGATGTAAACTAACTGAACATTTTTGAAAATAGCTCTTTTCGTTGTATTACCTTTCTTGTTTTTTCCTAACTCAATAATATATGTACATAACAGTTTCAGTAAACAGAACTTCATGTGGTCAACAGCTATCAGAATCACACAACGTCAACTGCAAAAAAATGAAATAAAACAATGTGAATAAATGTACATTATTAAAATTTACTTCACGTTTCTGTGATTTACCTTTTCTTTTTCTTTAGACGTTATTAAACGCAATTAAACAAGAAAAGAAAGAAGAGAGATGACTCATTTTAATCGTTCTACTCCCTCAAGGAGCGAGTCTTGTAGTTTCCCTAGTTATACCGCTGTTTAAAGAATCTGTAGGCTCCCAAAAAGCGGSAAATTACGAAACAACAACAATCATATTGCGCGCAAAATGTCCAACTCTCTTTTAGAATTTCAAAAAAAAGCCATTGATTTTAAGCTGAAGGTTGCTGAACCTACTCTAATCTTATATACTGCAGTCGCATGTTGATGAATCTTCAATAGCCCTAGCAATAGATATCCCTTACCCTATTTTGATGAAATGGCATGAACTTGTTGGGATAAAAGACGACCACGGAAAAACCCTGGATTACGTCTACCTACTTAATTTTTGGATCCCTGGACAATGGTTTAAAGTAAGTAAGGAGACAGGATTCACGAAAGGTTAAGACGTGAAGCTGGATCAGTTGTCAAAAAATACAAAGGGAAAAAGCTAGTGAAAGTAAGAGAAAAGCTAACTCTTAACATCTATGAAAGAGATCTGGTGGTAACTAAAGAGGTAGAAGAAAATCTTTCTGCTGCAGAACAAGAAATAAAAGAATGGAAATTAAAGTACAAAGATCTGGATAGGGAGAAAGAAAACTTAGATAGCGAAATGAAGGAGGTGTTAAAAAATAAAGAAAATAAAGAGAGAGAAAACATCAAAAGCTTTGAAGAAAAATTCAAAGAAACAGAAAAAAATTTTTTTAGAAATCTCTGCATACATCCAGAATTTAGAGAAAAAATATGGATTTCTCTGCCAAGGCAAAWYTGTRGACAAACTGGGGRAAAAACAAAGTTCCAGAAGGCTCAAGGCATTAAAAGGAAAAGCAGATGTTGCCCTTTGGTTCCTTGAGCCACATGGGCTCAAACTTTCTTTCCTAAAGGTCCAGGAGATAAACACTGGGAAGTATCACACTTTGGAATTTGAAAGTGATTTGTCTAAAGAAAGTTGGAGATGCCACTGACCAAGAAAACTTAGAAACTCTCTGAGCTTAATAAACTTTGTTATATACAAAGAACGCCTGGTCAATATCCTGGTCTCAGCTCTAATTTTCCAACACTTTACAAGAGCACAAGAGCATATTAGTCAACTCCTAAAGTCAAATTCAAACCATCCAGTGGATGAGCCAATAAAAGTGAAGATAAGTTGTGATGGGGCAAAAATGACAAGGTCCGCAAATTTTATGATCATGTCATTCTCTCTATTGCAAACAGGGGATCTGGTAATGTCTTCAAAAGGTAACAGAACGATTGGAATAGCTTATGGCCCAGAAAAATATGAAACAAGTCATTTTCAGAGATCATACAAGAGATAAACAATGTAAATAAAAATGGGAAAATCAAAGATACACCTACAGAATTATTTCTGGGTGGAGACTACAAGTTGTTACTCATGACCATGGGGCTCAGTGGTGCTACATCAGATTATGCTTGCCTTTGGTGAAAATCGTACAAGCGTTTAACGTTGATTAAGGTTATGTTGCTTCACAGTCATTACATGAATATCGGTCTAATGAGTGCGAGTCACTATTTCGGTGTTGTAATGACTGTTTCGGTTTTGTAATGACTGTGAGGCAACATATATTGGTGAGAGGGTAGATCGTTTAATATCAGACGTAAAGAACATCAAAGTGCTGTTGTGAAACAAGATGAACACAATAATATTGCCAGGCATCATACCAAGACTGGTCATACGATAGACTGGGAATCCAGTGAATGCCTTTCTTTTTGTAACAATAGGCAGCAACGACTATAACAATATAACATTCGTTGCATATAATTATGAAGAATGTACATTACCAATGTTTCAAATACCAAAAATTATTATGGTCTCTGTGAACAGCTTACTTATTATAACCAGGCTAAGCCTCTGGAAATAAATCTGGAGACATAAAATACAGCAGTGTCTATTGAACATGAAACTAGTCTATTGCTGTTAGTAAATATTTTTTTGATTATGTGATGGCATTAATGAATCAACACATTAATTTCTAGACTACATAAGTGATATCTACAGGACGTTGATAGAAACACCAAAAGCGGAGTTAAAACAAGTCAGAGACGAACTTAAAGAAAGTGTCCCTCAGCCATTGCATTCAATGTTAGACAAAGAGGGCAAGGAAGCAGCGTTAAACAGATATAGACAAAGGAAAGAGRAAGAAACACAGATTTCTCCACCTACGTGCACAGGTAATTAGTGAAATCTAACATTTGTATTAATTTTTGATTGCACAAGATTATCAAGCTTTATTTATTTGTTTAGATGAAGAACTGCAAGCATTGCTCCAGCCAAGACAATCAGCCAGAAAAGCACCTAGCTGCAAAAATTGTGGCAATCCAATGAAGTGCCACAAGAGAGGGCAGTGTTCCAGCTCTAGCTGATCTATTACTCTATGCATTTATATATTGCATTGAAATTTSTCTTTCTTACAATTCTGTTATAGAGTACAAACACTAAAAGTGAAAACAGCACTGATTTAACAACAGCACTATCTAAGTTGCACACTTGGGATAAGCAACAAATGAGCCACATGTTTATTGGTGTTTGCACTCTATTACAGGAGCAATTTTCATTTCATCTTTTACATAATATATTTATCACTTACGAAATTTGATTTTCTTCATCGAACTGTAACTCTTCGTCCTCAGATTCTGAATCGGTATTTGTTTCTTCCTCTTCTTCATCTTCCTCTWTAAACCCTTTATATGTCCCATGTTCTGAGGGAAATTCTGATCGTATGGCATTATATACGCAACAGGGCAAAGGCAGTCTTCTTAGATTACCGTCGTATTCCCATATGAGGCGATAAAATTGACGGTACGCAACTGATCTGAAAAATCTACAAATTAGGATATCAATTACTGTAATATTCATTAAAGATTGTTCACTTTATATTATATATATAAGTATATACGTATAAAAGAGTGAACGCACTTAAAGCGTGAAATTGTACAAAATCTGAATAGTACAAAATAGTGCAGAAGCCTCTGTTTTCTATTTTTTGGATTGTTGCTCT